TCCATCCCCAACATCCGAGTGCTTCAAATAGCTACAGAAAAACAATGCCCCGCTGCCTCATATTCCAAAGAATGGTATGGTTAGGATTTTATTTTGCGGATGAGGTGGTTATTATTTGTCTAATCCATTAGCCAAAGTGATTTAAACATACTAATACAATTTGGTATTAATTTAACATCGATTTTTCACTTTTATGTACTTCCGAATCACTGTTGCATTATTGTGTACTTTTTACTCCATGGCACCCAACTTGAGATATAGTCATTGACACTTTTCTAGAATAAGAAAGGACACCTATAATAAAGGATCGCGGGAAAAAATCAAAGTGGATTTGTTGGAAACCAGGTAAAACGAGAAACAGAGACCAGAGAAAAAATACATCAGGTGTTGTCGGGCAGTCGTGAATAGGGGTGGGCAAAAATACCAAAAAATCGGTATACCGCACTTACCGTACCGAAAAATACCGGAAAATACTAAAATATTGGTAAACCGTCATTTTCGGTACGGTATCATACCGTACCGATCTATTTCGGTACGGTAACGGTAAATGTACGTTTTCAAATACCGCGGTATACCGGTATAATACCGTACCGACTCTCTACTCAACAATTACTTTTAATTCTAATATATTGTAAAAATCCATTACAATTTTGAAGCCCAGAATTAATACGGAGTACTTAAGTTGGTTACAAATACAAAAATACAAAAAAGGCCCAATTTTTCAAACCCACTATAACCTTATAGGCTTCTACTCCGCTATCCTTAATGACTAATCAGTAATGTACAAATGTCAAGAAACAAGTCTATCTTGTTCCAAGAGCTTGCAAGTTGTGATGGCTGGGCCGCTAAGTAGCTGACGAGTGAAGAGAGATACACTTATGTGACAAGTGTATCTACATAGGGATTCCGCAAGTCGAGACACACAAAGTTGTTCGAAAGTCTTATTCAATTTTTAAAAAATTATAAAAATGACTTTATAATTTTTATATCCATGTTGTTTGAATAGTTTTATTTATTTTTATTAGAGATCACTATTGATGTAATTATATCTATATTGTTCAAGTTATTTTAGGAGAACATGTTACTTTTTAATATGTGGCATGTTGAACTGCTTAAATATACTAATAATAATTATCGTTCAATATTTAATTGACATCAATAGATTATTAATTGTATTTCGTAACAGTTTAATAATAGATTTAATATGTCGCTACTAATAACGATTTAGTATATTTTGTTAGTCCATGAAATTTTTTTGTATTGGAAGACATGCACGGTAATTTACCGATACCGTACCGTTACCGAACCGAAACTTCGGTATACCAAAATGCGGTATACCGGAACTTCGGTAAGGTAAAGGTATGCATATTTTGCATACCGGAAGTTTTGGTACTGCAAAGGTATGTGAAAAAATATAAGGTATATCGTACCGAACCACCCCTAGTCGTGAAGCAAAAGACCGGCTGCATTTATGCTTTCTGAGGGTATTATCGTCCACTCCATTCAAGATGACTTAAAGTGTTCAATTAGCCCCTTATGTAGGAGGTTCTGCCCGGCCATCGCTAATTGGGGCGTTTCCCGGTGGAATGTTTTCATGAATTTTTTTGAGAATCTTCTTCATTAAGTCCAGTTTACCCATACCAAATTTCAGCTAAAAATTCAACCGAGAAGGCAGTCAAATGATTTCCCGAAATGTACTGCGCTGTTTAATTTCGCAGTTATCTTCAAAAAATCATTTGACTGCCTTCCCGGTTGAAATTTTAGCTGACATTTGGTATGCGTAGACTAGACTTAATGAAGAAGATGCTCAAAACATTTTATTAAAAAATTCCACTGGGAACCGCCCCAATTGGCGACGGCCGGGCAGAACCTCCTATATAAGGGGCTAATTGAACACTTTAAGTCCGTTCAGGGGCCTATTTGACCCTTTAGCCTAGATAAGTATTACGGATGGGAAAAAACCTAAAGAAGTCCTACTTCTGAAAAAGTTGCATGATTTGGATGGGGGTGATGCTTCGTGCACCCACTTTTTTGCTTAATGTAACACTAACAAGACAATTTTGCCTCTTTTTCATTCTTTAATATACACTAGCATGGGCACGCGCGTTGCGCGATGGTCCGTGCCCAATGATAGGCAAATTAGAAATTTGAACGCAAAAGCAAAGGCGAATACATAACAAGTTTGCAAAAGTGCCCAAAAATGTGGTTTGACAGCTAAAATACAAGGTTTAGTTTCGTCAAGACGAAGTACAAGAGCCGCAGGGGCGGGAAGTTTTAGGATGACATTGCTGCTAATCTTTCCACATATAATGTAAACCTAAATCAATAGAGGAATCTGATATTTGAAAACTTAAGTTAAATCTTTGCCATGATCAAAATTGACAGAAATCCATAGGTATCGATGAGACAACAAGTGTGAAAGAATTTGTCTCACATCTACTAAACATGAGATATCGATGAGTACTTCAACTTATTTTAAGGGAAAATACAAATGAAAAGTCATCTCTATTTAAATGCTCCTGCAGATAAGATTTGAAAAAAATAAAGTGCAATTAGTTTTACCTAGTATTCACTAGATGGCTAGAGGCATTAGATGTTCGAATTACGCAGTACTAAATAACACAAGGCAGAAAGAAACATTATCCTTGAACATCATGCGTACCTGCCCATAGACCAGCTGATTCAACTCACTCAATGATGGGGTTCTCTCCAAGACGTGTGCCTTATTTAAAGAAAGATACAAATATAAACATTACCCCCTTGCTGAGATTGATAAGTTATTTTGTGATACACATCTTGTTTAAGAAAAATACATCACAAAATTTGCAACATTAGAACATGCAAAAGGAGCATTAAAACAATAGAAAGTTTTAACAATTTGGACCAGCAGGAAGTAAACTTTAACACCTCCAGGAAAGCAAAAAGCTGTCAAATCATATGGACGCATATGCATCTTCTTTCCAGGAGGATACTTTAAAAGCATCTGCAACCAAGAAAAAAACCAAAACATCACACTATTATTATAGAAATTGCACATGTTCTGGTTTAAGAGCAAATCTTTTTTAACAGCTTCATCTACAGAAAGATTTTCAACATCAATGTAGACAGGGAAGAAAGCAAAAACGGACAAAAAAATTGAAGGGGAAGACGTAAAACGTAATAGTGGAAATGGAAAAGCAGTGAAGATGCAGACAAGCGTGGTGGTGCGCAAACATGAAACACACTTTTGGAGATGATATGGAGAAATTACCTTTGAACAACGCTGGCCCGAGGTGCACGCGAGAGCAAGGAAACGGTGAAGGAGAAGAGCTCTGGAGATATCCCATTGGGCGTTACTCCCGGTGTATTTAAGACCCCTCAAACGTGCACCAAGAAGATTTAAAAAAACATAAAATTTCAGTTTATGTAGCGGTGAAAAAGGAATATGGGCTGGGGCTACGGGCTTTCTAGGGCCGAAGTGGACCAATGTTTTAAAAAAGAATAAAAAACAAACGTTGATCTTAGTTAGCAACACCCCCTCAAAAACCAAGCATTAATAGGACAACATTCTGCATAAATAAAAATAGAATAGCACATCAAGGGCCTAAATAATTAAAGGACACATCACTGGGGGGTCAATGTGGTTCAATGATAAACGAGCAGAAAATGGGGGGGTGGCTTTAACAGGAATACTTCATTACCGCCAATAAACAAATGCACATGTTCAGAAATTAGTATACCTGTGACCATGAACAACACAAGACATACCCGGTATGAACGAGAGCGAATGTTCCAAAGTAAGCAGTGCGGGAGAATCATAAATCTTGTAATGAACGACCTGCATAGAACAGCAGCAAAACCAACACCAAATCCACACACAAGAATACAAAACACATCCATAGCCTTATATACATTCCCAACAATGGGGAAGCAAAACCAAGTTAACAGACTTTACAAGATGTTCTGCATGATCACATGCACACAAAAGGTATTAAATATAGAAGTGACGGTGCAAGCGTGGACAGGTGCATAATTATGCAGTAAGTAGTGCGATAGTAGCAGCATCACTTTCTGGCAATTATACAGTCCAGCAGTTGGGCAAAAGAGCTTGTGGGTGAACACATAACGGGCAACTGAAGAGCGACATCCGACAGAGCGTGGCTAGAAGTATGCAGTGACCACCCACTATGTACAGCAAAAAAATGCTTCTTGGACATTAAGTGTTGCTTGGTTTGTGTTTTTTGGGACCCAGTGGCGTGAGCTTGTCTTCAGGAATATTGGCCTTGTGTGCCACAGGCGCCTTGGAGGATGAAGGTGAGGCGGCAGGTAACTGATTGATGGATTTGAAGTTTAACTTCCTCTTCAAAGAGGTCAAGTGAGCAGCAGCAGTTTCTGGCGATGTGTCGTCATTTTTCGGGGAGTTCTGGGGGGTTATCTCAATACAGGAGATGCACACAATCGAGTAGGGATTGCCCTGCAGCCCCTCTTCGTTGCTCTTAGTACGCTTCACTCCAGCGACAAAGTTGATGTTTTGCAGTTTTGCATCAAATATTTCCAAATCCATGTCACCAGTTGGATCAATATTCACACATTTCAAAAGCTGCATCACATCACTTGTGAAGAGCGTGACAGGGATGGTGCTGGTCCCGTCAGAAGAGCAGATGTGAATAATACAGCTGCATTGCAACGGACGGACATACCTTTTAACAGCAGTGCCATTCTTCTGCCCACAGAAAAGGCACTGGAAGTTCACACCTTCTGCCCCATGTACTCTACGATTGCAGTAGTCACACCCAATGTAGAAACCTTCCTCTGAAGTGTCTGTCAAGTGAAATTTGGCGGACACCCAAACAATGGGATCCTGCGAATGGGTGAGGAGAAAAACAACAGTCAGAACTGCAGCATAAAGAACTTAAAGTAAGGAGCGGGTGGCAATCCGCTAGGCTGACCTCATTGAGGGCGCTTTCCAAATCCTTAAGGGCAGTGAGCGGCTGCGAATGAGGCTTGGCAATTAGCGCAAGGGCTTCGTCATATTTCTTTGCAAGCAGTACGTCATTTATTTTATCTCTGTTGTCAGAAACCCTGACATGACATTTAAACACAAAGGAAATATGTCACCTTCCTCAAAATAACTATGCAGTGGATATAACCCATAGGGGGAAAAGTGGTGGGTACCATTTTTTCAACTGTAGCGCCCGTTCTCCGTCAGGATTGAGCACAACATGGCAGTCAAAGTGAGTCGACAAAGTCAAACCTGAACATAACATATTCAGCTTAGCAAAGCAAGGAAAAGAACAAGTAATTGCGAATAAGCACCCCTGTCAGTGGGCAAAAACATGCTTTGGTTTTAACAATCACACATCAAATGATATGTGAGAATCAGAACAGAAGGCACATTGATTGTATTGGTGTGCGAGGATGTGTTTCAGAATGAATACAGATGATCACATCACCTTGATAAAGGTTGATGGCAGCCCTATTTATCAGAAGCAAGGGGAAATCTCCAGTTTGCAAACATTGGTCAATCTCACCACCATGTCGAGTGATGAATTCCTCCCACATGGTGAATGTAACTGGGATGCACCTATTCAAATAAGCAAGAAAGTGAGCCACGCTTAGAGGCGATTTCATAATAGTTGAAAGGCAAACAACAAAGGGAGTGTGTACTGTGCATCGAGCAGGACGACATCCCATGCAGGTTTTTGTTTCGCATTGGAGAAGACAAATGTTCGCGGCAGCTTCTTCACCACTGCAGCCAAAACATCTGCATGTGTGGTAAAGAAAGAGGATATCATATAAAAATAACATGAAGTATGATATGGCAAATACACAGTTAAAGCATACTAACTGATTTGTTCATCGCGCATGTAAGAAGCATAAATGTCTGAAAAAGGGGTGGTGTCTGCCTCAGCCAGTTGACGGAAGTCTTGACCTTCTTCCTCAACAACATCTTGGATCATAGTTCGTCGTGTGAATGACCAAACGTAAGGGTACGCTCCATCAACGCAGAAACGCATGTCACTGATCGATTTTACATACGCATTAGAGACAAGATAGGTGGAGTATAGCGTAAGGCGCTGATCGATCCCTTCAATGTCACCTTGGAAAGCAGTCGCCTGAACCCTGGTTCCCTACAAAGAGTAACACTGGCAAGTGAACACTACAGGTAGCAAAAGAGGAAAAGTGGGCGCAGTAGAGTAAGCATCACAAAACATACGGCAGAATCCATGAGTATCATCGGCATAAACTTTATGGGAGACGCCTTTGCAGCACGCACATTCTGTTTTTCCACCACAGTAACTCGGCAGGTCCACGGCCTGGTATTTGGTGTCACAGATAGGATTGGCACTTCAGCTTCCATTTGTGTCGTTCACCTGCAACAACGGGAAAGGTAAACAAATCTAAGAATCAAAAGGAAAATGTAAGTGTGAGCAATTTGCAAATATAAACACATAAGTCATTGGCAGGACCTAGTTAATAAAGGGCAATATTTCCTCAAAGACAACGTTGGCAGTTGTAGCAGCGAGAGCTGGCCTAGGATCATCCGGACAAATGACAATTTTAATTGAATCTGCATTGCGCGCTCTCGACAGGGCAACATATAGCTGTCCGTGAGAAAAAACAGGCTCCTTTAAATAGATGCCAACGTAGTCAAGCGTCTGACCTTGCGATTTGTTGATCGTCATCGCAAAGCAAACCTTCACAGGAAATTGAACGCGTTTAAACAGGACTGGGCAGTTTTCATCCCTTGAAACTTCAAGGGGAATTTTTGGAATGAAAACGTGTTTGCCTTTGTGGTCGCCCGTAGCAATGTAACAGCTTAAAATGTGATCCCCAAATGAATCACATACTAAGCGGGTTCCATTACACAAGCCTGCGCACGGATTAAGATTTCGAAGCAACATTATTGGACAATTACGCTTCAGAGTCAGTTTGTGGGGGGGCAAGCCAGCAGGGGATAAAGTGTGTAAGTAATCCTCACAGTGTGTGTTTTTTGAGTCAATAGGTATATCATGGCTTAGGAATGTGTGGGCTTCTCCCGGGAACTTGTTCATTAAAGATGAATTGATAAAATCTACAATGTCATTCTTTGTTGTCAATATGGCACGTGACATCAGAGAGTAAGGGTCATTTTCGAACAAGCACAAATTCGGGTACACTGCTGCAAAGAGTAAATCCAATGAGACAGTTTCATTGACCCAAGGTAGTAAAAAGTTGGAAGGGATTCTGATTCTGCCTGGGGAGGTGTTCGGTTCAGTTCCATTACCAACTCGCAATAAATAGTCACAAAAACCTGGATCCTCATGGGCGCGCATATTTTCAACAAGTCGCAGTCGCTGCACGTGCGGCCAGATTATCATTGATCTAAGTAAGCAAGCATCAACAAAGTCATGCCTCGTACCAGAACGCACAACTGGCAAAGTTTGCCTAAAATCACCGCCAAACACCATAACCCGCCCTCCAAAAAGAGTGTCACTATCTAGTATGTCCCTCAGTGTGGTGTCCAAGCTTTCAACAATCATGCGGTTTGCCATGGATGCCTCATCCCACAAAATAAGTCGTGCTTCTCTAAGCAGGCGCGCTTCAGAAGACTGTTTTCCGATATTGCAAATGTACTTTGATTCACCGTCAAACGGTAGTTTAAAGCGGGAGTGCGCAGTGCGACCTCCAGGAAGAATAGATGCCGCAATACCAGAACTTGCACTTGCAAGTGCAATCCATTTGTTTGTCCTTGTTGCAGCGAGCAAGCACCTGTATAAGAAACTTTTCCCTGTCCCCCAGGCCCATCAACGAAGAACACACCTCCCTCACAAGCGTGCACTGCTGCCATGATGGAGTCAAATGCCACTCGCTGTTGAGTATTTAACGATGAGATTCCATTAAGGTCTGCATCACTCACAAGCACATTAAGCTCCGCCAATACTTCCCGTGTGAAACCGTCAGGGACAGATCCGCATAAGTCGGCTTCCACCAAGTTAAAAGAATCCATTTCCTTCCCCATTTCAGTGAAGAGATCACGTAAAACTATTAAAGCAGAATGTTCAGCAAGTGAAAATGGCTCAAACCGGGCAAAATCTTCACACAAATGCGACTTGTACTCCTCCCATAGTGCACGTGGGTCTGGCACATCTGAGAAGCATAAATGTGTGGCGAACAATCTACGCAAGCTGGATGGCAGCTGGAACAAAACTGCCTCATCGAGGGATGCCCGAATCACAAAGTCACCCGACAAAAGCCCGAGACGTTCAGCCGCAGCCCTGTATGTGGGCAATTCATCATCACCAACACTTATGAGATGCATAAATGATGTTGGGGCTCGTACATTAGCCAATAAGAGGCGAAGATAATAGCGCTCCCCTTCTACCGGATTCACAGAGACAAGTCGACCTATGACTTCTTTCCGTTTGCGTTGAGTCCATTCTTTGCGCTGACTGTTCCAGACAAAGTAATGGGGGAATTCAACATAAAGAAGATGCAGAGATTTCGCAACTTGGTCAGACGCGTTCATCACAAAGAACTGCGTCAACATTGTTTTCATGGAATCAGCAGCCTGCGTGATGTATGTTTGACGTGCACTTTGTCGTGAGTGCACTCAAAGTAAATTCAATACAACACTTATATGTAGTATAGGTGAAGTAGAGTTCGTATCCACAGGGAAAGGAATAATTTTCTTTTTATATAAATAGTAAGTAAAGGGGGGTTTTGATTGTTGAGTGATTTAATTAAATTTAAACACGAAGATGAACGATTTATATGGGATTTAATTCAAAGATAAAATTGACTTGGTATTGCTACTTTACACTTGTTGATATATTTTGGTCGATCATTGTTATATCTATAACTTATCTCCTCTCGAATACTCAATCGAGGAGTATATCCAATTCATCGAGGATAGTTATTAACAACGACCGTTCATTAATAACCCTTACTATTAGTCAAGTATAGAACAAGCGCCGTATACCGACTTGATAGTAGCATTTAATCGCTTAACTCCTTGATGAAATCAATTGAGATCGATAACCTCAACACAAGCGGTTTTGGTTTAACCAACACAATTAATTCCTCTTAGGTCTATTAACCACAACCGTGCATTAATAAACCGAAGTTACTTACTAGTGAAACCATCAACGATTACCATTGGTTCGTTGATCGTATCTAGTAGTAATTAATATATGAAACAAAATTAGTTGATCCTTTAAGTAATGTTCAAAATATTAATATGAAATATGAATAGGAATTAATTAATACTCAAGGAAGAATATTAAATAAGATGAATCCTACTATAGTTAATATCAAGATGTTAACTAAATGTCATCTTAGTAACACTCCCCAATATTAACATAGAGAAAGAAATGATTATTACTATAACTAATGTCAAGATGTTAACTAATTGTCATCTTAGCAACACTCCCCAACATTGATATAGAAATAGCATTTGAAGAAAGAATTAATATTCAAGGAAAGAAGTTAAGAAAATAACTCACAACTTTAATAATCAACAAGCTTCAAGAGCAATACCAAGAAATGGAAGTTTAGCTCCTCATTTGGAGACTAAACATGCTAAAAGAAATATAAAGAAATGCTATTCTAAACTGAGCTTAAGAGTGTATATGAATTGGTGTCTAAAAGTGAAGGAAAGGGGGTGTATTTATAGGCTTTTTGAGGTGCAGGATCGAGTACTCGATCGAGTATGTATACATACTCGATCGAGTATGTATAGAAATCAGAATTTGGTCAATACTCGATCAATACTCGAGTAGATTTTATATGCATACCCGATCGAGTATATAAGCATACCCGATCGGGTATAGACACTCGAACGTGGGAAAATCTTCTCCTGCATGTTCCTTTGTTTTCGGATCCGATCCGATTTGAAATGTCAACCAGATACCCGATCGAGTATATGTATATACTCGATCGAGTATAGACCAAAATCAGGATTTTTCCTTCTTTTTGTCTTGTACTCTTGCACCTTCCTTCACCATTGATCATTTGATTGATCTTGGACCTGTTTAAGCTCAGAATAAACCTAATCTAAACAAATTACAAGAATTTAACAAACCAAACTATTACACCGAAAGTGTGTAGTTTCCGAAATATTAAACAATCAAAACTAACTAAAAGCGTAAATAAACATACGGAAATTACAAACGTATCAACTCCCCCACACTTAGTTCTTTACTCGTCCTCGAGTAAAGTCAAATGTTCAAACAGTTTAAGACCATTCCATGAGTTCAAGAATGAAATGAACTAAGATCACCAAGAAATAAGAAAATGATTTTTACAAACAACTTTCTTTCTTGGGTTTTATGATCTTCTATGCTCCATCTTCTTGCCTCTTCTTCTTTGCCTTCTCTTCTTTTCTCCTCAAGAGATCAAATGAGTTCCTGCACACAACAAATATTTCTCTCATATCTCTCATTTTGCCTAGGAGCCTTTTCAGGTTTTCATCCTAGCATCTCTTTTTGTTTTTCCATCCTTACTAACTCACTCATTTCATTTTTTTTATAAGCCATTTTTTTGCTTAGATTGCCCATTTTTGGGTTTTCAACCTAACCAGCATTTCAATTCTTTTATCCATTTTTCTCTTCTTCTTTTTTTTTTTTTTTTGTTTACAAAGGGTAAAAGAAATTCATGCATAGTAAAAGGTAGAAAATGAAATTACATACCATGAGTAATCTCCTCCCCCACACTTAGTTGAAGCACTGTCCCTAGTGCCCGCCTTCTCCGCCGTAGAAGCCGCCTCCAAAGCCGCTTCCAAAGCCTCCTCCAAAGCTCCCATCGCCCATGTGGGTGTCGCCGCCATCATCCCCTCCATCAAAACCTCCACCCCCGGAGCTAGATCCTCCAAAATTACCCCATTGAGTGGGGTCATACCAAGAGGGGGGTGGTGGTGGTTGAGCCATGGTGTGGAATTGGCCTTGATGAGCCATGTAAGAGTACATCGGTCCATAGAACCTACGTTGATCCTCTTCATACCGTCAGTTGTCTTCGGCCCTTTGCTCTTCTATTCTTTGAAATCCCGCCCTTTGTTCCTCCCGATACTTACCAACTTCGTTAGTAACTCTATTAAATCCGTCAAGCAGTTGTTGGAAGTAATCGGTGTTCGGCGTCGGCGGGAATGATGTCTTCAAAGCCCGGGATGGGTGCTATGGTGATTGAGCTCTCTCCCCTATTCTTCCTTGGAGCCATTTTTTGAAGCTTTTGAGTTTGAGAACCAAAAATTCGAATTTTGGGGTAGGGTTTTTTGGATTTTGTGGATGTTTGGGGAAAGTGGGATTTATGGGTATAGATATGGAGAGGGGATTGAGGGGAGTATTTTGGTGGTGAAATGGGATGATTTGGTGGAGAAATGAGGGAGTTTTGGTAGAGAGAAGGTGGAAAAATGGAGTTTTGGGGGAGAGGGGTTCGAAGTTGGGAGTGTTTTGGAGAAGATGAAGTGAAAATGGGTGTTGTTTGGGTATTAATCGCAGGGGTACCCGATCGAGTATCCCTGTATACCCGATCGGGTACCGGAGACAGGGGCTGGAAGAACTGGCTTTTCTGAGCATACTCGACCGAGTATCAACATATACTCGATCGAGTATTGGAGGCAGGGGTTAAATTAAATTGTTTTTCCCGTTATACTCGATCGAGTATCAACCTGTACTCGATCGAGTACAGGAGACAGATTTTTTCTTCTTCTTATTTCAGTTTATACTCGACCTGGTAAAGAGGTATACCCGATCGAGTATGCCTCCATTTTTAGAAATATATGGCTACTTCGATCGAGTAATGCCTCGGTTCCTCTTTTTAGACAATACCCGACCGAGTATGAGATGGTACTCGATCGAGTATGTCCCCAGACACTTCAAAACCTGCATTTTCTTCTTCTTCAAAACAAACATGTGATTAGTTCCCTCTCTCTCTTTTCTCTCAAATTTACACAAAAAGGAAATAAAATCTAACTAATTGACTTGGGTTGCCTCCCAAGAAGCGCCTTATTTAACGTCGTGGCACGACGTTTTATTTATTTTTATTTTTATTTTATGTGGGATCGTGAGCATCCCTTCCTTCATTTCTTTTCTTTTGCCTTTTCCAGTAAGGCCGACCTTTCTTCTTTGTTCCCGACTCAATTAAAGCATTTGGCGTTGGTGGTTCAAAAACATTCAAAGAGCAAAGAGATTGATCTTTAATTTGTTTTTTCGTAGAGTCGAAGATATTGAACTCTACTTTTTGGTCATTGAACTCTAAAGTTAATGAACCACTAGACACGTCAATTTTTGTTTTTGCGGTCTTTAAGAAGGGTCTTCCCAAGAGGATGGGTGCCGTTTGGTCATCATTCCCCATTTCGAGGACGTAGAAGTCGACGGGAAAAACCATATTCTCTACTTCTACTAGCACATCCTCTAATACACCCTTTGGGTAGGTACTAGAACGATCTGCTAGTTGAATCACTACACCGGTTTGATGTAGTGGGCCAAGTTGTAGGGTTTTATAAACGGAATAAGGAATGACGTTTATAGATGCCCCCAAATCTAGTAAGGCCTTAGGAAATGTGGTGTTTCCTATCGTGCAAGGAATAGTGAACATGCCCGGGTCGTCACATTTTTTTGGAAATTTTTTTTGAAAGACGGCCGAGACATGCTCACTAACTTCAACCTTTGGTTTCCCCTTTAATTTATCTTTTCTTTTTATTACACATAGTTCTTTCAAAAACTTTGCATAACGGGGAACACTTTGGGTTAGTTTAAAGAGTGGGGTATTTACCTCACAATCGGCGAAGGTCTTATAGATGTCCCGATCACTCTCTAGCTTCCTTGTATCTTTCAACGCCTCAGGGAATGGAGGGATTGGTTCATATGATGATAGTGGAGGAAATTTTCTCTTCGTTGGCTCCTCCTCCTTGTGGTCAATCTCCTCTTTTTCACTTTCCTTTGCTTGTGATTCCGGGCTACTCCTTAGCATGATGGCATTGACTTGTTGCCTTGGGTTTTTCTCAGTTTGGGACGGGAGCCTACCCGAATCTCTTGCTTCAAGTCGATTTACAGCATTCGAAATTTGGCTAACTTGAGTTTCCAAATTTTGAATGCTTGACTTTGTTTCTTGTTGAAATTGCACCACGTTTTGTTGTAAGGTGCCCATGGTAGTAGCAAGAGTTCGAATCATGTCTTCCGTAGACATACTCGATTGAGAAGGTGGGTTGGCTTGTTGAGGGTTTCCATACCTTAAGTTTGGATGATCCCTCAATCCGGGATTGAAAGAATTTGAGAACGGGTCATACCTCCTTTGTTGGTGGCCTTGGAACCCCAAAGCGTTGACTTGCTCTGTGGTGTCCTCTTGAAGAGTTGGGCATGAGTCCGTGGGATGCCCTTGTTGTGTACAGATACCGCAGACCTTGACTTCTTGGGTCTTGGATTTTAAAAGGAAATCCTTAACCAAAGAAGTCAAGCCGGTCACTTGACTGGTCAAGCCGTTCACTTGACTTTCCAACGCGTTGTTGGATTCTGCCGCCATAACTCTTCGAGTTGAGGATCGCCCGTTATAGTGTCTGGAGTTCTCGGCCAACTCCGAGATGAGATCTCTTGCTTGCGAAGGGGTTTTGTTGACAATGCCCCCTCCACACGCCGCATTCACCATGCGACGATCTTGATCCACAAGACCATCATAGAAGTACAGGATGAGGTCTTGTTCGGTGTATCCGTGATAGGGGCAACTTGCACATAGCTTCTTGAATCTCTCCCAATATTCATATAGGGATTCATCATCTTTTTGTTCGATGTTGCTTATTTGCTTCTTGAGTGATGATGAAATAGAAGCGGGGTAGTACCTGTCAAGAAAGGCCTTCTTCATTTGTGGCCATGTAGTGATACTTCCCGAGGGAAGATAGAAAAGCCAGTCCTTTGCAGTATCCTTCAGAGAGAATGGGAAGGCCCTCAGTTTGATTTGCTCCTCGGACACACCATTGGGGCACATGCTTGTGCACACAATATGGAATTCCGACAAGTGTTTGTTCGGATCCTCCCCTCGTAAACCATGGAATGATGGAAGGAGATGGATGAGCCCAGATTTTAGCTCAAATGTGACCCCCGTATCAAGAGTTGGAAAAGTGATACATAGGGGTTGTTGATTAAGATTCGGAGCTGTGAGCTCCCTCAATGTTCTCGTCTCAAGAGCCATAGTGATTGGCTCTTCGGTCTCGCTAGATTGAGAACTAGCACTTGATGATTCCTCCGAAGAAGTATTCGGAAATAAATTCCTAAACCTTTCGAAGGCTTGTTCCGTTTGGGGGGTTGTTTGGTAGATGATTTCGTTTATAGATCGGGTTCTTACCATATACTCAAACAAAAGCTCAGAAGAAATAGAAATCTCTATACTTCAACTATTTTTTTTTTTAAAATGAAATAAAAAGAAAAAATAAATTGCCTTTCCCCGGCAACGGCGCCAAATTTGACGTGCACTTTGTCGTGAGTGCACTCAAAGTAAATTCAATACAACACTTATACGTAGTATAGGTGAAGTAGAGTTCGTATCCACAGGGAAAGGAATAATTTTCTTTTTATATAAATAGTAAGTAAAGGGGGGTTTTGATTGTTGAGTGATTTAATTAAATTTAAACACGAAGATGAACGATTTATATGGGATTTAATTCAAAGATAAAATTGACTTGGTATTGCTACTTTACACTTGTTGATATATTTTGGTCGATCATTGTTATATCTATAACTTATCTCCTCTCGAATACTCAATCGAGGAGTATATCCAATTCATCGAGGATAGTTATTAACAACGACCGTTCATTAATAACCCTTACTATTAGTCAAGTATAGAACAAGCGCCGTATACCGACTTGATAGTAGCATTTAATCGCTTAACTCCTTGATGAAATCAATTGAGATCGATAACCTCAACACAAGCGGTTTTGGTTTAACCAACACAATTAATTCCTCTTAGGTCTATTAACCACAACCGTGCATTAATAAACAGAAGTTACTTACTAGTGAAACCATCAACGATTACCATTGGTTCGTTGATCGTATCTAGTAGTAATTAATATATGAAACAAAATTAGTTGATCCTTTAAGTAATGTTCAAAATATTAATATGAAATATGAATAGGAATTAATTAATACTCAAGGAAGAATATTAAATAAGATGAATCCTACTATAGTTAATATCAAGATGTTAACTAATTGTCATCTTAGTAACACTCCCCAATATTAACATAGAGAAAGAAATGATTATTACTATAACTAATGTCAAGATGTTAACTAATTGTCATCTTAGCAACACTCCCCAACATTGATATAGAAATAGCATTTGAAGAAAGAATTAATATTCAAGGAAAGAAGTTAAGAAAATAACTCACAACTTTAATAATCAACAAGCTTCAAGAGCAATACCAAGAAATGGAAGTTTAGCTCCTCATTTGGAGACTAAACATGCTAAAAGAAATATAAAGAAATGCTATTCTAAACTGAGCTTAAGAGTGTATATGAATTGGTGTCTAAAAGTGAAGGAAAGGGGGTGTATTTATAGGCTTTTTGAGGTGCAGGATCGAGTACTCGATCGAGTATGTATACATACTCGATCGAGTATGTATAGAAATCAGAATTTGGTCAATACTCGATCAATACTCGAGTAGATTTTATATGCATACCCGATCGAGTATATAAGCATACCCGATCGGGTATAGACACTCGAACGTGGGAAAATCTTCTCCTGCATGTTCCTTTGTTTTCGGATCCGATCCGATTTGAAATGTCAACCAGATACCCGATCGAGTATATGTATATACTCGATCGAGTATAGACCAAAATCAGGATTTTCCCTTCTTTTTGTCTTGTACTCTTGCACCTTCCTTCACCATTGATCATTTGATTGATCTTGGACCTGTTTAAGCTCAGAATAAACCTAATCTAAACAAATTACAAGAATTTAACAAACTAAACTATTACACCGAAAGTGTGTAGTTTCGGAAATATTAAACAATCAAAACTAACTAAAAGCGTAAATAAACATACGGAAATTACAAACGTATCAATGTTATGCGCTGGTTGCCGTAAAAGGTAAGGTATTGAGAATTTTCTAGGTGGACCTGCAGTGAAAGAACAGCGGGGCGCATTTCAGAGATGGGAAAGCTGAAGATACGCCACGCAGCCTCGGGGGCAGAGACCCACCTAGCTTTTTGAAAATCGGAAATTTCGTCGATCACCTCATCCTCCCTTGTCTCTGACAACGACATGCTTATCCTGTCATGTCCTTTGTACACATATTTGTAAATGTACTTAACTGATTTCACGCTTGCACAAACTTCCACATTGATGTGGCAATCGTATTTGCGCAATAACTGGGCATTATAAGGGACAACCCAACGGTTGTCCAGGGAATGCTTTCTTACTATGACAGTTATTCCAGATTCACGACGTCTGTATGCAGGGAAGCAGTTTTCATGAAATTCTGTGACAGCGGAATAGTTACGGGGAAACTTATTTCTGCATGTTGGGGATCCTGACCCACGCGCAACAACCATGCAAGGACATTGTGGGTTGATCGTGCCGCAGGGTCCATGTAGCATATGTTTTTTTACAAGCAGATACAGTCCGGGGTCTGTGATAGGATCCGGCAGTTCAGCAGTGATTAACTGATCACAGCGAGCAGAAGTTGTTATTTTGCATTCCCTCGACAAAATGACGAGAAAATGAGCATGAGGGAGGCCCCTTTTTTGGAATTCGATGACATACGTGTATGCAACTACCTTTCCAAACAGAGATTTTGAAATAATGTCCTTTTTGAAGTCTTCCAGGCGCGCTCGAAAAACACGTGCAACAAGGTCAGGGCGGTTTTGGGCCTCATCAGCGAATTTTAGGCGGTTTTTAATTTCTGGCCAGCTGGGATTGCACGTGATGGTGATAAACAGATCCGGCTTACCATAATTCTGGACAAGCGCCATTGCATCCATGTAGCGGCCACGCATGTCGCGCGGCCCGCCAATGAACGAGCCTGGCAGTATCACGCGCCTGCCAACGTCACTGGTGGTCTGGATACCTGTGCTGACGCTGTCAACCAACCCCTGGTATGTCTCGCCCCGATAGTCACGCTGCTTGCTTCGATAATAATCAAGCCTCTGCGTTTCAATTTTAATATATATGTCAACAATGTATTGCTGGAAAAGGCGCCCAGAATGCAGGATAAGCGCCTTGTCTGCCCGGCGAAGTTGTAACTTGTATGCGTAATATTCCCTGCAAGAAATAGAATGTCTTTTTTGGCCAGTATTGAGCAAGAGTTCCTCTCTTGCTATAAGCGATTCGCCTGATCCAAACAGAGTTGTGTTAATGGAAAGTGAGTTAGTAGGTGTTGAACCGGGGTGCAGCACGCCGGAAGGACACCTGGCAATTCCCTCGTGCCAACCAACCTCTCCTCGCGGGAACAAAAGCGGGTATTGTAGAGGGTCATAACACCCATAGTAATAATGGATGTTCTGAGACCTTCCACTGTGGGCATACACACGAATGTTTCTGTTTGAAGGCGCGCCTTCATAGCCATCTTCGACCCAAACCGCAGCAACTTGAGATGTTGCTGGGCGGTTGTAAACATGTTGATCGAGACAAGGATTACCATTAAGGACAATGGAAAATTCCCCTGCCTGTTCAACGTCACCAAGTGTTTTGAAGAACTGGGCATACGGGTTTGCACACATCACTTCCATTAACACTTGGACCACATCTTTGTCCAGACGATCTGTTGATTCTAGCCTGCTGGAAAGAGCATGGTCTGTGTCGTAGAAATACAATTGAAGATTACGGGGTGGGCAACCATCAGGGAGAAGATCATTTATGAAATGATATATTTGGCCTTGAACCCTAAACGTATATATCCCCTGGTTCCGTCTGCAAAGACTTTTGTCGTAATTGTAGATCCCGATGGACGTGAAAGCAAAAGTATTGTTGTATGTGCGCACACATGAGCGAAAGTGTTTTGATAAAGGATCATGCGCCGTGAATAATTGAACCAGCTGCTCCGGCATTTCAGTTGAGGTCAGGACAAATTCACCCTTGCTGCAGCACATACTTGCGGTCTCATATTGCAGGCGTTCAGCACCACAGAATAAGCATTCAGGAACTTCCTGCAGCCTGTACACAGCACCGTCCGCAGGGGGTGAGCTGCTGGATTGTCCAGCGGATGTATGACCTGAAGCCCAGCACCGCCATGACCAAACAGTGCAGTATGCCAACAAGAGCCGCCAAGAGACGATGTGTTGTTAATTTCAACATGGAAAATGGTTCAGCGACAAGAAAGACGGGGTGGAAGTATTTTGGGTACCAGTTATGATCCGAACAGAGGCAACAAATAGTTGGTAGGGTGAGCAAGATAGTATGAGAGGCAAATAGAGGAGCGATAAGCGAGGATAACATGGGGAAACATTATTGCAGTTTTCGGTGGTTATTCATTTCAAGAGTAAATTAAAGGAAAGCAGCGTTGACACGACAAAGGCAAAAGAGACCGTATTCCAAAGACACAAGCGAACATCATATATCACAGGAATAACATGATTGTTAGTTTGGTTGGGTTGAAAAAGAAGGGACATTTCAAAAACCAGAGGAAAAAACAAATTAGAAAGTTTCACTAAAATGCGCTGGGGCAGAACACATATAAAGAACCATACATACGCCAGAACAGACCTGAAGAAGCTGCGCCCACTTGCACCTGATTGCCAGACGCAGCAGCACCAACAGATACGGCTCGATTCCTTGCAGCCCGCTCGCTATACGCGAACCGCCGACGCTTTTGAGTGCGTGCACGTTGTTCTTCCGCAGGTAGGTCACTACCCGAACCCCTAGTGCGGACCATGATCCAGCTACGTCAACCAAGTGCGCACCACACACACTACCCAACTGATATTCAAAATAACACCCAAGGTCATTTCAACCCTCAAAGGCTAACAAATCAGCTATTCATGCAAAAACTGCTGAACCACAGCCCGGGAAGCAACACATTAAACGGATCGCAGGCGAGGCAAGCACCAGCGGTAGCTTAATGACACTAATTTTAATGGCTACAAACATTTAGAACAGCAACCCACATCGACCCAGAACAAACAAAACAACACACTTGTACACAACATTAGCTGACCCAACACAAACATCTCAAAACATGCACAACACATCAAACATGCAAGGATTGGCGAGATAAAACAGCACAAAAAACAGCAACGCAGCAAATTGTGAACACACAAAACCTTTTACAGGGTGAACAATAACACAAAAGACTTACAATTTCGGTAATTCAGCCCACTGCAGCAGGAATACCTAGCAACAAATACAATAACACCCGAAATCACTCAACGGCAAAAGCAAGAGAGAAAATTCCAACCAAACAGTTGCAAATATCAAGCAAGGCTAATACATCTAGACAAAAATGTGGTAACATAAATATAGGATATTTATAAAAAGTGAGAAATTCAAATAATATGGCACAGTGGTCAAAAAAATCTTTTTAATATGACATAGATTTGTACACTGCTCCAGGAAGGATTAATCACGTCATAGCTTTCCCGCCGGTTTCTCAAAAACCTTCGTCGTATAGTTTATATTTTATAAAAAAATATGTTTTACGTTAGTTATTAGTAGAACCAATGTCATAAGCTTTTTCAAATATTACTTGGCTGAAGTGTTAATCTTTTTAACGGTGTGCATTTGCTTCAGTGTGCAAGGCTACTTGAAACTCCTTAAATTGTTTCAGTGTGCATTTGTTGTAAGCGGGATATTTATTTAACGTTGTAAATAGATTAAAGGGAAAATTAAAAGAGCCTAGGCAGGGATGATAATTTATCCACTTCCATTGGCAGACACTTCTAATTATTGTTTCATTACTTTTAAGGTGAAGGTTATTAAGAGTGCTAAAAAAAGAGAAAGGGATGACATATGATGTTCATCAATTACCTGTATGAAATGAATGTGTAATGAACAATTTCAAATTAGGGTATTATATTGTGACTTTTCCTCCTAATGTTGCTGCTAAGTTTTCTAGTTTTAATTAAATAAATGTATATGCACTTTTCATACGAAAATCTTTGAAAAAGCAAATGGTTTTGGGTGGCAAAGCAGAAATTTACACCCAAAAAAAAAAATCAAGACTATCAACTTTCTTAAATCTTAAATATCCAATCATGTTGAGAAAGGTGTTTTAAAATAAGCGGAGGGTTCTGAGGTATCAAAACAGAAATGTGCACATGGACCGAAAAACAACTACTGGTCTCTTAGTTTGAAAAAGTTTGCTGCAAAAAAGTTAAGAATTACGTCTCAGGCTACTTCTCAAACAGTTTGCTGGCAATAAGTAAGGACAATTCCAGAAAACGAAAAGAAAGATCTGATACCACACAATCAAACAACTGTGTAGCTCATTCAGGTTCACAGTCCCTTCACTCCAGCAGTTTAGAGTGTGCAATGTCAATCAGGTCAATATAAATATTTTATTAAGTTAATTTAATAAAAAAAATAACAACACACATATTTTCTCAAGGTTGTTTACAATGAAACAGAATAGCAATGATAGACCCCAAATAACAATTAATTTTATAATTTTTGGGAAAATATTTGGAGGATCTGTTGTTGGAGGATTCTTCTTATGAGTTACATTTTTCATAAAAGCATCTAAGGTCAGGAATGGAACACCAAACACTGAGTTCAATTCAAATATGTTCAGAAATTTGACAGAGAAAGCCAGTGCTCTTGCAAAAAAAAATCTTAACATTCTCCATTCCAAATTAGATGTGACATCTATTAATTATTGAAATGTATACTTTTAAATGGAAAGAAATAGCATGTTCGGACTTCTTGCACCGGCCTTTTCAAAAAATACATGATGTTTGTGTGTAATGCTGGAATTGTTTGTAATAGCGACATTCAAATAAGTGTCAACAGTAGTGAAGTCATGCAATTTATCTAATTTGTTTCATTCCTTATGCAATAGTCAAGTAAACCTGTGCTAACTTTCGTACTTCGTGAAGAATCTAAGTAGTTTTTAGCAACTGCAGATCAACAAATATATATGGGAAATATTGTATTTGGTAATAGAGAAATTTATGAGAAATCATTGACTAAGGCATTTTGTCGAACAGTTCGTAAACATACACAAAATGTTTAACTAAGCAAACAACTGGTTTCCTTGCAAATACCATTGAACAATTTCAATACCTTCATAAACTGAACTATCCTTAAAAGCAGTCTTTATGTGGTGTTGGTTATGTATAAGCACTCCAGAATACAAGGTATATAGAAGTATAATCTTAAATTGCTTATAATTGCTACAATCAAAAGGTGATCTTTAAGATAAGAAATAATTGTCTCACAAAGTCACAAAATACGTTTCTGTGCCGAAGTGGATCAACACAGAATCCACTGTAGATGTAGTAAGAACGCACAGATTTTTTTTTTGCAAAAGCAACGCATTGCAAAGAAATTTCAAAAACCGTTGCAAGTATCAAGCAAGCCCAATACTGAAAAACACAGCCAGGCCAGCGGATCAAACACACAGCACCACAAAATCAGTCAACCAACACAGACCAAAGTTTAACCATTCTCAACACACCCCCACAACCCATAAATGTTAAGGCAGGGCTCAGGCCATATAAGACACCGGAACACCACATAAGAGCATCCCAGCAACAGGCAAGCGGCAACCGAGAAAAGCCAACCTCCCAACTTCACCCGAGATGCAACCCCAAGCCACCCATGTTGATTATTATTATACATGAGAACCAAGATCTACACATCACACAACATATTTGATAAAATATCATATACAAGTTCATATATGTGAACTTACATGATGGGAAGCCAATCCTTGGTAGACCATGATTTGTTGATGAAGAAGCCATTGTTGTCCTTGTGGTGAATGGATGGATAATCCCTTTTAGGACAATAATAGATGGAGTGAAATTTAGGGAGTTGTGTTTCTCTCCTAGGCTTATGGTGTTGTGTTGTACGTATGTTTAAATGAGAGGGAGAAAGGGTATTTATAATGAGAATACTCAATAGTCACAACTCTTCATTCTTGTCCTAAAGGGTGTTACCACAATGGTACCCCTTAAGTATTATTTCCATCAAATAATACATAAATATATATAATGCATAATTATATATACAATACATAAATATAGAACACATATTAATATTGGTCCTAAGGCCATATTAAATGGAAATAATCCAACATTCTCCCACTTGGCCGAGTGACCAATAATCATTAAGTTGGCCGAGTATGTGTTCTATATACCCAATATCTATACTATAATAGAGAAGTACAGTCACACACATCTATGTAGATATGGGACCCCCACTAATCATATTATAGCACATGTATTAGGACTTTAAGGTCATTAAACATAAATGATCAAATGTAATGTGGTAATTAATATTAAGTTGTCTATGATACCAAAATCAGTGCGCACGGTATACATATAATAGACAATTAAGAATTCAAGTATTTATTTATATACATGAATTGTTCATAAGAGCACTATGCCAATTAAGTGAGGTCTCGACTAAAACCCATTTTCATCACATGTTCTTGAAAAATCTTGGGTGGTAGACCTTTTGTCATCGGATCCGCAAGCATATCATGAGTGCTAATGTACTTGATACAAAGATTATTTTCTTCCACTCGTTCACGTACAAACAGGAACTTTGTATCAAGATATAATCCAGCCCCACTCGAACTATTTCCATTTGAAAAGCTCACGGCTGCAGAATTATCACAATAAATCTTCAGTGGTCTCGAAATGGAGTTTACTACCTTGAGTCCTTTAATTAGATTCCTCAATAGCATTCCGTGACATGTTGCATTGTAAACTGCAACATATTCCGCCATCATAGTTGAGGTGGTAGTCAATTCTTGTTTATGACTCCTCCATGATATCGGCCCACCTGACATCATAAAAACATATCCCGATGTCGACTTCTTATCATCTTTGCATTTAGCAAAGTCAGAATCAGAAAATCCCACAACTTCCAAAGCATTAGTTCTTTTATAAACAAGTTTGTAATCTTTTGTCCCTTGAAGATATCTTAAGACTTTCTTAGCGGCTTTCCAATGATCTAGGCCAGGGTTAGATTGATACCTGCCTAGCATGCCAGATATATAAGCGATATCAGGACGAGTACAAACTTGAGCATACATCAAACACCCTACTACTGATGCATAGGGAATTAGTCTCATTTGCTCCTTTTCTTCTTCAGTTTTTGGACATTGAAATAAACCAAAAACATCTCCCTTAACTACTGGAGCAACTGATGGGGAACAATGTTGCATATTGAAACGTGCAAGGACACGTTCAATGTACGCCTTTTGAGACAACCCTAAAGTCCCATTGATGCGATCTCGGTGGATTTCTATGCC